CTCAGGGGCCAATAGGCCGCATGTGGCTCCCAAGCTTCAGGTTGGATTCTGAACCTTCTATAACCATGGACAGGACAGTAGATTATAACCCCCACCATGGCCTTCGTTGAACGGTTTTTAGACTCTGTGAAGTGCTGTGAGTTTACTTTTGCCACAGAAGACAATTTAATAAATGATGGCCTCCTCTTATCGTCTACCGAGAGTATAGATCTCCTCTCCTGGAGGCCGGAGGCGGGAGAAGGACACACAGGGGTCGCACTATGTTCACGAAGATTGATGGTCCCTTTTACTCCTCTTCTTGACCCAAACATGCAGTTCAGAGATAAATGTGACACCTACAAGAAGAGAAGAGGCATTGATCAGAGGAGTGTGGGTGGATGGAGGGGGCAGAGACACAAAGCCTGGAGGTACTGATGGAGAGAGTTCATGAAGCCTCCAATAGAGGACACATACAAAGCCATTGACAGGCTTTTCTCCATACAGAGGAAGTGAGAAATCTCCCTGAAACAATGGGGAGCCCTCAGACAGGTTGGGGGGGGGGGGGGGGGGGGGGAGTCAGGCAGACTCTTTGGGCTGGAGAGTGGAGTTGGTGGAGGAGACAACAGAGCAGATGGACGGAGATGGACCCCTGAGGATATCAGGTGGATGATGTGGGACGTATTCAGATCTCCCATCATAAATTCCTGGAATTCTTCACTCTGAGCAACACAGACCACAAAAACATCCATGCAGGATGGAAGTGGTGTGTCAGCCATACACAAGGACATGGGAGATATCCCATATGGAGACATGGGCCCACGGCCTTCACCAGACAGGGCGCTACAACTGATTTTATAATACAAGGAGGTCTTCCAGTCTGTATGCCTTCCCTGGAAATCACATGAAAGGAGGCCAAATACAACTGGATTTCTGTATAATGAGGACAGGAACCTACAGAAATTCTGTATAATGAGGACAGGAACCAACAGAATCCTGCAAAATGAGGTTAGGCACTCCCACAATCTTGTGAATGGAGTCCAAGCACACCCGGAATTCTGTATAATGAGGATTTGCACCCCCCAAGAATCTTATGACTTGAGGCCAGGCCCTCCAATAATTCTGTAAAATATGGACAGGCAACTCCAATATTCTGTGAAATGAGGTCAGGAACCCCCAAAATCATGTGAACAGAGAACAGACACTTTTAGATTCCTGTGAAATGCATTGAAATGAGGCCAGGGTTCCTCAGAATACTGTGAAAGGAGCGAAGCACCCCAAGAAATCTGTGAAATGAGGCCATGGATCCCTAAAGTTATGTGAAATGAGGACAGGAACCCACAGAAATTCTGTATAATGAGGACAGGAGCCCACGAATCCTGCATAATGAGGCTAGGCACCCCCACAATCTTGTGAAAGGAGGATAAGCACCATGGGAATTCTGTATAATGAGGACAGGCACCCCCAGAATCCTGTGAATTGAGGTCAGGCACCCTCTGAACCCCTGTATTATTAAGAAAGGCACTACTGGAATCCTGAGAAGTGAGGGTAGGCACCCCAGAAGTCTGTGAATTGAGATAAGGCACCTTAAGATTCATGTGAAATGAGGCCAGGCAACCCTAAAACCCTGTGAAATGAGGCCAGGGTCCCACAGAAATCTGTGAAATGAGGCCAGGCACCCCAAGAAATCTGTGAAACGTGGCAAGGGACCATGAGAATTTTGTCAAATGAGGCCAGCACCCCCAGAAATATGTGAATTGAGGCAAGAGACCCCAACAAAATCTCTGAAATGCGGCCAGGGACCCCAGTAAATCTTGAAATGAGGCAAGGGGCCCACAGAAATCTGTGATAGGAAGCAATGGATCCTCATAAATGTGCCAAATGAGGCCATGGACACACCCCAGAAATCTGTGAAACGAGGTCAGGAACACCAAGTATTCTGTAAAATAAGGTCATACACCCCTGGAATTCTGTATATTGAGGACAGGAACCCCCAGAATTCTATAGAAGAAGGGCTGGAACCCTCAGAATCCTGTGAAATTATGCCAAGTAACTGAGAAATCCTGTGACATGAGGCCAAGTACACCCAGAAATCTGGAAATAAGGCCATGAACCCTCAGTATTCTGTAAAATGAGTTCAGGCATCCCCAGAAATCTGTAAAATTAGTTAAGGCATCTCCAGTATTCTGTGAATCGAGGTCAAGTACCCCCAGAATTCTCTATAACGAGGACAGGAACCCCTAGGATTCTATGGAAGTAGGCCTGGAACCCTCAGAATCCTGTGAAATTAGCCCAAGCGCCCCAAAAATCCTGTAACATGAGCCAAGTACATCCAGAAGTCTGGACAGAAGGCCACGGACCCTCAGTATTCTGTATAATGAGTTCAGTCATCCCTAGAAATCTGAAATGAGGCCAGGGGCCCCAGAAATCTCTGAAATGAGGCCAGGCACCCCCCTCATGATTCTGTGAAATGAGGTCAGACACTTTCTGAATATTGTGAAACGAGGACAAGTACCACCAAAAATGTATGAAGTGAGTCTTGTCACCCACTTAAGTCTGTGAAAATAGGCCAAGGACCCCCAATATCCCGTGAGATGAGTCCAGGCTCCCCCAGAATCCTGTAAGGCCTGGTTTGTGAGATATACTTTGGACCGTACATTAACTTTTCTCCATATTTATTGGTTAGCCTTACAGCTCAGTCTACGGAATGCAGCCACCCGGAACGTTTTCTTCTTCCCCTTCAGATTAGGTTGAGGTCTCTCCGCGGCTCTAACAGTCGTTCTGTTGGGAAGAATCGATGGTGAAATATCAGCAGTCGGTAAAGTTTCTTCATTCCATCACAATAGTTATTGGAGCTTCGGGAATTCCATACGGATGACGCCTTGTCTGCCACACATCACGGTTCATGAAATCCGCTGCGTGGTTCCGGCTGCCTCCGGATATCAAGGCATTGAGGCGTTGGGGTCCATCGCAGATGCTATTGCTGGTGGAACATCGGGGTTTTGGATCAAAATTTGCATCGGAGCCCTGGGGTCTTCCACGACCCACCAAAGGAAATACTGAAGGGTTGCTTGTCTGCTGCAGTCAGCGCGAGGATAAAATCTGCCCCCGCAGCTGGACACTTACCCTCCGCTGAGATGAGTCTGGAAGAGCAGCGAGCGCAGGCGTCATGGTTGTGAATAACGGGCGGGTGGGCGATGTGTCGGAGCGCAGGGAGCTCAGCGGAAGCACCTGCCTCCCACTAATATGAAGTTATTGTTTTATATCTTATTCCCCAGATTTTCTCCCCAAGTAACAACACTTTGGTTTCGTATTAGCGGGAAATTAATTTTCTTTTTATATGTCACCGGACGCCGATGGTGCTGGGAGCGGAGCGCACATGGGGAGCACACACCTGTGCTGGCTGCTGACTCCATCCAGGTGCCGGGAACGACGCGGCACCGGCGTAACCCCTTCATAGCCAATACCCAAACAAAGAGGCACCAGGCCAGCAGAATTATTAATCTGCTGGAATTTATTCATGTTCAGGGTTAAAAGAATAGAAATAATAAATCGTTACTTATAGTCCGGCTGATACAACTTGTGTATATATACGGTACTATGCAAAAGTTTTAGGCAGGTGTGAAAAATGCTTTAAATACAGAATTCTTTTAGAAATCGAAGTGTTCCAATTTTTTTTTTTTTTTCAATGAATAAAATGGAAAGTAAATGAAGAGAAGAGAAATACAAATCCAATCAATATTTGGTGTGACCCTTTGCCTTCTTCTAGGTAGACTTGCACACAGTTTTTGAAGGAGCTCGGCAGGTAGGTTGTTCCAAACATCTTGGAGGACTAAGCACAGATCTTCTGTGGATGTCAGATGCCTCCAATTCTTCTGTCTCTTCATGTCATCCCAGACAGACTCCATGATGTTGAGATCAGGGCTCTGTGGGGGTCAAACCATCACTTCCAGGACTCCTAGTTCTTCTTTACACTGAAGATAGTTCTTCATGACATTGGCTGTATGTTTGGGGTGGTTGTACTGCTGTAGATTATATTTGGGGCCAATCACACACCGGCATGATGGATCTGCCTGTATCTCTCAGCATTGAGGACACTGTTGATCCTGACCAAATCTCCAACTCCACTTGCAGAAATGCAGCCCCAAACTTGCAAGGAACCTCCACCGTGCTTCACAGTTGGCTCATTATTATACCGCTCTCCAGCCCTTTGTCCAACAAATTGCCTCCTGCTACAGCCAAATATTTCACATTTTGACTCATCAGTCCAGAGCACCTGCACCCCAATTCCTATGTTTTCATGCATAGTTGAGTCACTTAGCCTTGTTTCCAGGTGGAAGTTATGGCTTTTTGGCTGCAATTCTTCCATGAAGACCACTTCTTGCCAGACTTCTCCGGACAGTAGATGGGTGTACTTGAGCCCCATTGGTTTCCACCAGTTTTGTGCTGATGGCTCTGCTCCATTATCCAATGTGGAAGGGAAGTAAGGGAAGTAAGCATGATGTGTCTTCCATCTGCAGCATTAAGTTTCCTTGGCCGACCACTGTGTCTGTGGTCCAACATCTTGCCCAACCAATGGTGACCTTAGTGCTGAGAAGTACAGTCAGATACTTATTCATCATGCCATACCATCAGGGAGCTGTGTGACTGGCCCTAAATTTATTCTGCAGCAGGACAATGAAGCCACTGCTGGACATCTTCCCATGTGGAAAGGAAGTAATCATGATGTGTCTTCCATCTGCTGCATTAATTTTCCTTGACCGACCACTGTGTCTACGGTCCAAAATGTTGCCCAACTAATAGTGACCTTAGTGCTGAGAAGTACAGGCAGATATGTATTCATCATGCCATACCATCAGGGATCCCTGTGATTGGCCCTAAATTTATTCTGCAGCAGGACAATGAAGCCACTGCTGGACATCTTCCGATGTGGAAGGGAAGTACGCATGATGTGTCTTCCATCTGCTGCATTAAGTTTCCTTGGCCGACCACTGTGTCTACGGCAGGGATGGACTGACCATTCCAATTCGGGCACTGCCCGAGGGCCCAGGGTCAGTAGGGGGCCCCATGAAATGCCCCTGGTACCTTTTATGGGCTTTTTTGGGTGTGCTTTGAGTGTGGGCAAGGACACAGGGGCCCCATGAATCCCTATTGCCTGGGGGCCCATGAGTTGTTAGTCTGCCCCTGCTCTACAGTCCAAAATGTTGCCCAACCAATGGTGACCTTAGTGCTGAGAAGTACAGGCAGATACTTATTCATCATGTCATACCATCAGGGAGCCGCTTGATTGGCCCTAAATGTATTCTGCAGCAGGACAAGGAAGCCACTGTTGGACATCTTCCCATGTGGAAGGGAAGTAAGCATGATGTGTCTTCCATCTGCTGCATTAAATTTCCTTGGCCTACCAAAGCATCTACGGTCCTCAATGTTGCCCAACTTCCTGCAAGTGTAAGAGTTGATGCAAAAGGGTAGTCACACCAAATATTGATTTGATTTAACTTTTTTTTCTTCTGTTCTTTTTACTTTCCATTTTGTAAATTGATTAAAATATATATTTTTGAAAGCATTCTTACTTTTCAGCATTTCTTCACACCTGCCTAAAACATTTGCACAATCCCGTATGTGATACAGATAACACAAATGATGATTTTATTTGCTGCCCTGTGAATGCTGTGCGTCCTTCTGTGACCAGCCGGGAATGTGGATTGGAGTGTTAGCTCTTGTTCCTCGGCACATCTGCGTGTGTGCTTAGAGTTCAGTAACGTCTAATGACCTCTTGGGTGTAGCCTGAGAAAAGATTTTGGTTTGCACTGAAGGAAGTCCCCGATGTTCCTTTGACTTTTACTGACACATTGATGTCACTTTCTGTCATGTTGGTTTTTTTTTTGTGAGTCCGGTGTGCGCCAATCGAGTGTGCGCCAATCGGGTGTGTGACAATCGCATCCTCTGACCCTCCTGACCTGGCCTGCCATTTTTCCAGGTGGGAGTTATGGCTTTTTGGCCACAATTCTTCCATGTAGACCACTTCTGGCCAGACTTCTCTGGACAGTAGATGGGTGTACTTGAGTCCCATTGGTTTCCACCAATTCTGTGCTGATGGCACTGCTCCATTATCCGATGTGGAAGGGAAGTAAACATGATGTGTTTCCATCTTCCACCAGGAAAGGTGGATTGGAGTGTTAGCTCTTGTTCCTTAGCACATCTTCACTGAAGAAAGTCCCCGATGTTTGTTTGACTTTTACTGACACATTGATGTCACTTTCTCTCATGTTGGGTTTTTTTGCGCCAATCGGTGTGCGCCAATCGCATTGTCTGACCCTCCTGACCTGGCCTGCTGGGTCTGTTGTGGTATCCGTTTGTGTTTAAAGTGGAACTCCAGAAAACAAACAAAACATTTTGATTTGTGCTGAGCGGGGGAGGGTCAGAACCTTAGTCAGGTATTTATTAGTCCATGCACAGGGTGACATTCTGATTCTGGCCACCACTGTAAGGGGGCACTCTTTCCAATGGCCACAAATGTAAGTCACATTTTTCCCACTGACCTCCCCAAGTTCCTGAAAAAAAAAAAAAAAAAAAATCTGAAAATTAAGTCAAGAGTTCCTCAGGGTTGAGAAAAGGCTGGTCTAGGGGGTCAAAAACATGAGATCCTGCACCAAAGAAGCTTCTGCATGGAACATGGCTCCTAAAAACAAACAAAAAAAAATGCAAAAAAAGCACAAAACAATCTTTAAAATTGCCCAAATAAAACACGATCCAATGTGAATGCGGCGCTAGATCTCGTATAATTATTTTCTAAATTTGTTATGAGTGACCATCCTTTTTTTTTAAAACTGAATCATTTTGGAGAGGCCACATCCATGTGACAATAGTATTACTATTTATTATTATACAGGATTTATATGGCGCCAACAGTTTGCGCAGCGCTTTACAAAATGAAGGTAAACATTACAGTTACAATACAATTTGGTACCAAAGGAAACAGAGGGCCCTGATCCTGGGAGCTGACAACAATCTAGGAGAACATCCAAACAGAGCAGGGAGTCCTGAGAAGGATCCAGAAATGGAAAACGCAGTGAGGGTGCCACAGCAGTGAGGAGAGAGTCCAGATTGTAGGATATTTCATTGCATCAATAATACTATACTAATATTATAATTGTATGTATATATATATATATTTAATTTATATTTATATTTTTTCTATATATATATATATTATACTATTATAAATATAATATTAATAACAGTAATAAGAATACATAATAATAAATATATATACATACATATATATATATATATATATATATATATATATATAATTCTTATTATTATATTTAGAATAGTTTCCTATTTTATGGAATGACCAATAGTGAATGAAAAGGCCACCATATTTCGAGGGCTCACACAATTCCGGCTCACCAAGGTCCAATGCAAATTTAAAGAAAAAAAAAATTATATGCAATATATATATATATATATATATATATATATATATATATATATATTAAAAAATGTAAAATTATTTTCTTGTAAAAAAAAGGATTAAAAAAAAGGAAATCAAATTTATGCTATTTACTTATATGAGAACAAATTAGATTTTTTTAGTCTTTTTTGCCATGTGAATTGCTCATTTATTTATTCATTGATTCGTATCATGAACTTGCATAAATATACAGTCTATACGTAGTTTCTGTGTGTTTGTATTTACACACACTCACACACACATATTATACTGTATATGGGTAAAAGCGCTCCAACTAAAACAATGTAAACTGGCATAGATTGTAAGCTCCCAGGATCAGGCCCTCCTATCCCTCTTGTATTGAACTGTATTGTTGCTGTATTGTCTCCCGTTATATTGTAAAGCACTGAGCAAACTGTTGGCGCCATATAAATCCTGTATAATAATAATAATATAAATCCTGTATAATAATAATAATAATATATAAATCCTGTATAATAATAATAATAATATATAAATCCTGTATAATAATATATATAAATCCTGTAATAATAATAATAATAATATATAAATCCTGTATAATAATAATAATAATATATAAATCCTGTATAATAATAATAATATAAATCCTGTATATATATAATAATAATAATATAAATCCTGTATATATAAAAATAATAATATAATATATAAATCCTGTATAAAATAATATATAAATCCTGTATAATAATAATAATAATATACAAATCCTGTATAATAATATATAAATCCTGTATAATAATAATAATAATAATATATAAATCCTGTATATAATAATAATAATAATATAAATCCTGTATAATAATAATAATATATAAATATAATAATAATAATATAAATCCTGTATAATAATAATAATAATATATAAATCCTGTATAATAATAATAATATATACAAATCCTGTATAATAATATATAAATCCTGTATAATAATAATAATATATAAATCCTGTAATAATATATAAATATAATAATAATAATATAAATCCTGTATAATAATAATAAATATAAATCCTGTAATATATAAAATAAAAATATATAAATCCTGTATAATATAATAAATCCTGTATAATAATATATAAATCCTGTATAATAATAATATAAATCCTGTATAATATTTACATTTCATTATATATTTTTTTTATATTTAGATTTATATCATATTATAGATTTATGTTTGCAGTATATTATATATCTCCTAGATTGTAAGCTCCCAGGATCAGGGCCCTCCTATCCCTCTTGTATTGAACTGTATTGAACTGTATTGTCTCCCGTTATATTGTAAAGTGCTGAGCAAACTGTTGGCGCCATAAATCCTGTATAATAATAATAATAATACATGTGTAGCCGCTGCCGACCCGGGATCCTGCAGCGGCGTGACGTCACCACTGGAATCTCCTCCCCCTACATGTAAGCCAGTGTACATTGTTTTATTTGGAGTGTTTTTACCAATATATTTTTATAAAATACTACACAATTGCAGATTCATTTGCTTCTGGTGAGCCTTATCTTGTCCTTGCCCGGTTCTACCGAGAGGGACCTGTGGATGCAGCTGCCGGGTCACGACGGATCCACGCCGGGCTTTTGCTATGACACATGGGCGCTTGTGCGGTTGAAATGTCAGTTCTGGTGAGTTCTAAATTCACGGGGAGGTGGTGGTGGACCTCAGAATTCTTTACAGGAAGAAGCTCCCCTCAGGGGCTGGACCTCAGGGGGGCCCCTCCCTCCCCTCCAGCCTATGAGGAAGATCTCTCTAACTTCTTGTCCCAGAAATGGTGTTCGGCTAGACAGGAAGTGAGGGAAAATCTCTCCAGTGGGATGACAGCAACAATGCCAGTAGAGGTAGATTTCATCTAACGTGTCAGGCACTTGGGGCTGGAGGTATGTAGGCAGCCTACAAGATGGCAGAGCGCAATGAGCGTTTCTGTACTGTGGTGTTACTCATCTTTCATTCAACATGTTTCAGGCACTTGGAGCTGGAGGTGTTTAGGCACCCTACAAGATGGCAGAGCACAGTGAGCACCCTGGTACTGTGGTGTTTCTCATATTTCAGCTAACATGTTTCAGGCACTTGGGGCTGGAGGTGTTTAGGCAGCTTACAAGATAGCAGAGCACAGTGAGCACCCTGGAACTGTGGTGTTAATCATAATTCATCTGACATGTTTCAGGCACTTGGGGCTGGAGGTGTTTAGGCAGCCTACAAGATGGCAGAGCACAGTGAGCACCCTGGTACTGTGGTGTTTCTCATATTTCAGCTAACATGTTTCAGGCACTTGGGGCTGGGGGTGTTTGGGCAGCCTACAAGAAGGCAGAGAGCATAGCGAGCACCTCAGTACTGTGGTGTTACTCATATTTCATCTAACATGTTTCAGGCATTTGGGGCTGGAGGTATATACGCAGCCTACAAGATGGCAGAGCGCAGCGAGCACCTCGGTACTGCGGTGTTACTCATATTTTGTCCAATCAGCTGTAGGCTTTCATTAGCAGTGTCAGCTTCTGGCTGTGCAGACATTGGTGTGTAAATCACAGGCCTGGCTGAACAGAATCTGTAAACCAATTCCTGTACAGATATTCTGAGTCTGTATTCAGTTGGAGGTGTCACAGACCATGCAGTACTCGGTGTCAGTTCGTCTTTCGTCCTCCGGCTTGCTGTGGCTA